TTGGAGCCTTCCCGTTGAGTTCCGTTGAGTTCCGTTGAGTTCCGTTGGCTTCCAGCACAGCTTTTGGTGCCCAATAAAGGCAATTTGTTGTACCAATATTTCACTCATGGATCCACAGGTACTTTTAGGACCCTTCCCGTTGAGTTCCGTTGAGTTCCGGTACAGTTTTTTGTTGTGGGGGCAATTTGCTCTTGCAATTTCATCCGTCCACACCCAGTTGTCTATTTGGCGTTTTCCCGCTGAGTTCCATCGACTTTCTCTCAGGCATAAAGTTGTCTAATCTGGAATTTACGGACTTTCACTTTCACCGTTAAATTTCAAAAATGCCGTAAACGAGCTTTCGATGTCAAACATGGACCTTGTTCTCTTCTCAAGGAGAAAGAATTTAGGTGGCAGGTGGTGCAAACAACGCTGGGCGGCTTCCCCGTGTGATTTGGCGCCCTCGCGAAACGTCCAAATATGATATAAGCAGCCAACTTGGGACATCGCATCTTCGACGGCCTCCAATCTACTAGCCATGGCCTCCAACCTACTACCATTACCAATCTAATAGCGATGCGATAGCCTCCAACCTATAGCGATGGCGATGACCTAGGCCTCCAAGCTTGGCCTCCAAGCAACGGCCTTCAACCTACTAGCGATGGCGATGGCCTCCACCCTGCTAGCGATGGCCTCCAATCTACTATAGCGATGGCCTCAACCTACTAGCGATGGCCTCCAACCTACGACCTACTAGGATGGCCTCCTAGCGATGGCCAGCGATGGCCTCGGAAATCTAGCAGCTATGAGCACAGGAAAGAACGGAGGCATTGAAGAACGGAGGCATTGAAGAGCTGGCTAAACTCGGCTGAACTGTCTCAATGTCACTCACACCTTTTAACAGTCCTGATCTGGGAAGTCAGTTGCGAGCCCACTCAAGTGCTGCATGAACTTGTTCACAGAGACCTTCTCGCAAAGGTACGCATCTGGGATGATATTTGAGACGACGTGCGCTATGGTGTCCTGTCTGGAAAAAACATGCAGCATAAAGATTAGAGGGGTGCCACGCTGCCCTTTGAAAACAGCATCTCCATCCCCAAATATCGTTCCGTTTTGGTATGGTCAACAGTTCAATTCACAGTAAACAAGTTCAGCAAGCATCATCAACAATTGGCTGGCAGTCCAGCGTGCCCTCCGTGGTGCCAGTGGAAACACCGTGCTCATCGAAAAGCTCCGCGCCAATAAAGTATAGCCTTCCCCTGGTCATTGGAAGGCCAAAATCCTTGGACCTGAGCAGCGCGTCGCAGTGTCAAGGTAGACACCAATTGAATGGAAAGACTACTTGTTAACTGCTTGAAGTGCTTCTTTGATTTGTTGCAGACTTGTGGGGTGCAAGGGGCTTCAGTGTCACCACGCGAAGGCTGTAACCGGGGAGGCTGTTCTCCAGACCGACAGGATTGCCAAGTGCATCCTTGCCTTTGAGCACGTAGTCCAATGGTGTCTGGCAGAGAGGCTGAGAAGCACTGAAAAAAATGCTTTGCGACATTCAGATCTGATCTGATCAGAACTTGAAGAATAGACACAACTCCACTTGAAGACCTTTTCAAAGAACCATGGTGATGTCCAGAGTCATAGAACCAGAGTCACCCGCACAAGTTGCGGGCTCAGCTAATCAGCTAGTCTGTAAAAAGCATGTTTGGTACGGTCTATGTGAAAAACATGACCCCTAAGATTCTAAGCGCAGACCACCATGCTAAGACCAACGTGTCCAATCACGTCCGTCACACTCCATTCTTTGAGGATGGATTGAAATGGGACGTGATCCAGAAGCAAAACGACCTCACACTAAGCAGGATTGTTTGATGAACAAATATCGTCCTTGAGGGTGGAGTTTCCAGTCTCTCCGGCCCCGGCTGTTTTCCTGGTGGCTGAAAGGTTCAGTCAAGAAGGCTTTGCCTCTTTGCCTTGAGCATGAACTTTGAAGGAAGCTTCGAGAACTTCCAAGGACTCTTCCAGCATCTTGGCCTCCTCGCCTGAAGCTTGGGCACATCTGTCTCGAATCCATTGAATGGAGTTTTGCATCGATTCCACTTTGATTTGAGCAACGCACGCACTCCCGATGTATTGACCTTGGAGGACGCTGTGTTGAGAAATAATATTCGAACCTCATGTCACCCTTCTCTATGCCTTGGCTGCAGTTGAAGCATACCATTGACCGCTTAGCCATCGCAAAACCGTCTACCCCGATTCGGGTCGTGCTGAAGACCTTCCTCTTCGGGGCTGGGTTTGACGACGGTTGCGCTGCGCTTGCAGAAGCCCCAGGCCTAGTCCTATCATCTGGCTCTGGCTCTGAATCGTCGTGGACTTCCAATAGCTTGGCCACAACTGAAAGCTCTTTTTGCGCAACCGGGTCAAGTCTTACACTCTCCGGGTCGCCGCCATTTCCCTGCAAGAGCTCTCTCAACTCTGGCGCCGCACCCTCAGTATCCAGGTCCTCAGCACGGGGTTCGCCACTTGCCAAATCACGCCCACGTGTCCTCTTGTCAGCTCCACCGCCTCTGCCACGATTTTTTGCGGAGGCAGCCCGTTTGCGAGCACTGGTTTGCTGCTTCGCTGGCTCAAAAACGAAGCCAAAGCCCAGCTGAACCTGGGTGTTGGAAGCAGGCGCTGAAGCCAGGGAAACTTTATCTCTGGAAACCACAAGCTTGGTGCCAATAGTAAAATCAGCGCAAGGGCCCCCGCTGACCCTAAAGTGATTTGGCATTTCGAGAGAGCCCACAGCAGCAAGGTGGTGGACTTTGATGTCCACATTGACTGGGTCCACTTGCCGTTCCTGCGCTTTTCTAAGAAGGCTTGAGATCAAGTGGTGTGATGATGTCTCCAATGTCCAGTGTTTCTTGGTATCATCGGACTCTGAACTGTAGTCTGGGAGCAACACAGAAGAGTCGAGAGAACTCTGCTGAAGCCGCCCAAGCACATGTAGCAAAGGTCTCTTTGCCACGCAACCCAATATATGCCAGGAACTGTAGAGCGAAGAGGATTGATCGCCATCCAGGCCCAGGTCCATTGAAAATTTCAATAGGTGCTCGCAGCACGCCATTTTGTTGTTCTCCAAGCAAATCTCAAACTGCTGCACCAGTTTCATGACTTTTCCCCAATTAGGGTCTGCCCTGCACAACCCAGGATGAAGCACACAGCAAGGTAGACACAAGGAGGGGTTTGCTGGCGGGTTTTCAACCGCATCTGGCATGTAGGAAAAGACATCTCTGATTTGTTCGGAAGCTTCTTCAACCTCCACATCAGCAACAAGACTAGGATTCAAAGCTCCAATGTGTGAAGCCAAACCCAACCCCTTGCTCCACACAATGTGACTTGCCAGCTTCTCCAACGAAGTGTCCAGCTGCCTCTGCCCAACCCTGACCAGTTGCGCCGCAGACCTAGATTCTGACCAAACAAAAAAATCAATACTCTAGATTCTGTTTGCCAAGGTGACCTTACATCCCTAGGATCCAGCAGGTGCAAATGATCCAAAATCCGCTTCCAAACTTACACCTGCTACAAACCGGGTTGCAATTTCCGCGCCAGTTCATCAGGAGCGTCAGCAGTGTTCTCTAGTATCTCCCGCTCTGCAAGGGTTCTTTGGGCGACACCAAGCCGTGCCGCAGTTTGCTCAGCTGCTCTCAACTCAAATGGATGTCTCTCTTCAGTGCTCATTGAGCGCCACTCCGCGCACACCTTGCGCAGCAGATTCTTGTACCTGTCGGACCCAATCTTGAAGCCCGAGTTGCGCAGTCGACTCTGCTGGTAAACATTGACGCCAGTCACTCTGCGGTTCTTGCGCATTTGTTTGCCAGCCGCTTCCATGCCCACGGATTTCCTTGAAGTGTTTGATTTGAACATGAAAGAGGCCCCATGATTCTGAAGTTCTAAGCTCAAAGTAGTCTGAAGTTCTAGCCAGTTCCTATGACTATGACTTTGACTCTGACTGAGAGCCTCTCACCAGGTTGGGGTGGGAGGTGCCTTTGCAAAGAAATGAAATAATACAGGAGCATCGGAGAACCTAAAAATGACAAGGTTGCTCAATCTGAGCCATGCTTCATGAAAGTTGATTGCTTTGTCACAGTCGGGTCCTTCTTCACACGAGACATAGTTCGCCCTGGCGTGGTTCTAGCGACCGCCCGGGAAGAAAGTAATCGTCCAGCGCGAATCTTCTTGGCGCCCAGAGTTTCCTCCTCAGCAGCTTCTTTCAAGCGTGCGTGCTCCAGTGCACAGGCCATGATGTATGAATTTTCTTGAATTGTGTTGTGAGCTCGGCCACTCTTGCGCGCAGCTGCGTTCTGCTGGGTTGATGCGTGCAGCTTCTCAACTGAAACTGAACTTGCTGGTATATGAAGAAGCGCGTCCCGGAAAAGGTTGGCTAGGCCCTCCACCCTTTCTTGGAGGCAACCAGTCTGAGCCTGAGCCACCCTCAAAGTGGCCTCCGCAGGCTGGCATTCGGGCCAACAAGAAACTACTTATTAATAACAAGAAACTACTACTTATCAATAAGAAACTACTAATTATGTGTACACTGCGGTCAGAACAGAAAGGTGCACCAAACACATCACAAATGTGGCAAAAGTGCAATGGACATTAAGTTAGCCCGTTTTTGGGTTGGATTTTTTTCCACGAGTACGGCATGGTGCCCAGGTCATCGTTGAAGGGAGGGAAGAACAGTCAGATGGTGGAGAAAGGAACAAAGAAACCCAACACCACACCAAACAAACAAAACACCACAACCCAGGGCCCACAGGCCAAGTCTCACCAAGCATATCGGCGCAGGTTTATGCTCAAGCAAAGTCGCAAAAAGGCTTCAAAAGGACTTCACTTCACCATTATGAGTGACCAACGCCCACGCCCCAGTGCCGCAAAATCATGGTCACAATGCAATTCTCCACTCAAAAACGGGGTATTGCAATGCTTCAACGTCGATTGCATCCGTGGAGTGGCGTAGCTGTGCAGCATGCCGTGGAAAAGACCTTTCTTGTGGCGCAACCCGTTCAACCGGTTACAAGTCAAGTGGCATGCTGCCAATCAACAATCAACGGGTGGCAGCCATAATCGACGAAAGCTGGCAGGTGATGGTGCGAAGAGATTCCCCCCGAAGGAAGGTCAGTTCAGCACTGTTTGGACTCACAGGTACCAAACAGCAAACAGAGTGGAGTGTCTTCCAGGTTTACGAAGCGCAGCACCGTAAAGCCGGTGTTTAGGTTGGAAGGTAAGATCCCAAGTGACTCTTGGTACTATGATCTGCAGCATGTGTACTATGGACAGGCATTGCGGGAGGCTGGGCCCGGGACCTTCGGCGAAGGGGGGCTTAAGCCCCCCTTCGAAGGGGGCTTAAGCCCCCCCTTAAGCCCCTACGAAGGTCCCTCCCCTTCACCCCCCCCCCC